CGAACAAGACTATTTCGACAAAACTGGTTTCGCGGAGGAAGGAAATAATAATGTAGAATTATCGTGGTCAAACAGATATATCTCTAAAAATGATTTGAACTATGGAAACTCTTGTATAGATATTCTTGAACAGTTGATCAAAAAGAAAAACGAATTCGATTTTTTATAAATTCTAGTCCGGAGTTAAGATTGCTGTAAACTCATAAATTTTATTAATATACTAGCAAACCCGACGAACTCCGTTTCGCCACCAGATAGTTTCGTGAGAAAGATGAAGAATTTTTTTGTTTGTTTTATATTTGAAAAAAAAATTTTTTTTTATTACACAACAGGAATGAATTTATTTTGATTACAAAAATGAAGTGTTTTTTAGTTGAACTTCTCTAAGTGAATAAAAGTAAATCCGCAAATTATCCGTTTCATGGAAGTGGTCTTTGGTAAACCACATTTTTTGTTTTTTGGTCTGACGTTAACACAAACAAAGCGTATGGTTTTCCAACTCGTGAACAGGCAACGTATAACTGCCATGTGATAGATAATGATTTCTAAATAATCTGTTTGAAATTTATCCCGCAAACACTAAGCGATTGGCCTTGCGGCTTGTAGTTGCCATTGCGAAGGCAAGGCGAACTGGAAATTGCAATCTCGCATTAAGGTACGATGCCATGCACACTTATTTTCTTAGCTATAAATCTTGCGGAGCTCGAGACTTTTCCAACGATTGCAAAATTGTTGAAATCCGTTCTTGCGTTCTGGAGTTATATCGTCTGGAAGGAAAACCCAACTTATTTATATATATATATATATATATATATATATATATATATATAGATATAGATATATGTAGATAACCTATTTAAAATTATTTAAAACAATTGTTGATTATTTTTATTACTCGAATTTTAATTACGGTGCATGAAGTCCCAGCAATTTGCATTAGGACACGATGCCATGCACCACTAATTTTCTTAGCTATAAACCTTGCTGAGCTTTGCGAGACCTTTCCAACGAATGCAAAATTGTCGAAATCGGGTCGTGGCTTCTGGAGTTATTTCGTCAGGAAGGAAAACCCGACTTATTTTTATGTATATAGAAGATAATCTATTTGAAATTATTAAAACAGTTATTGATTATTTTTATTACTCGAATTTTTAATTACGGTGCGTGAAGTTCTAGTAGCTTGCATTAAGGCACGATGCCATGCACAACTAATTTTCTTGGCTATAAACCTTGCGGAGCCCGAGTCCTTTCCAACGAATGCAAAATTGTCGAAATCGGTTCGTGCGTTCTGGAGTTATTTCGTCAGGAAGGAAAACCCGACTTATTTTTATATATATAGAAGATTGTATATATATAATAATATATTACATACAAATTGCAGTATCGAGATGAAAACTCGGATAAACAGACTAATAGTCCTAGGCGTAGATAAACAAAATATATTATACTCTTATAATCTTATTTATGGAGAAAAGACAAAAGCAATACAAGTTATCACCCAGTAAACCACAAGAGTTAAAACTACGTAATTCATTTTGTAACTTTCGTTACGAAACTAATGTTAAGTATAAAAACCTGCTGTTTCGTATAGTTGAGGTCTTTAACCACCGCCGACGCGTTTATACGTATATAATACTGCTTTGCAATGTATATAATACTTGCTTTTAATTGCAATAATGCCTATTGAGAAATAACACAGGCCAACAAAAAAAATGGTGCAAACGATTTTAGTGCTGTTTTTAAGTATATTTGGGGCGCTGATTACAAAAATGATTTTTCTATGAGCTTTAGTTTTCAAGATATGATATATATGATATATAAGGAATGAAAGTACAAAATAGTAATACATTTCAGAATGTTATTTTAATGAGGTATGCCTACTCGTACATAAAAACTTACAAGACCCATTCGGCCTTAGTTGGGACATTAGTTGACACTGTGAAAAGTTCTTTTCCGTGACGACCTACAATGGACCTGGTTTCGGCAACTACTTTCCAAGTTCAAAACTAGATCTGATACAAAAAAATGGTTTGCAGATTTGAAATCAGCGCAAAAAATACTATAAGAATCAGCTCTAACATTTTTTTTTTTGATTTATTTTTCATAGCAAGCTATACAAAGTACATTCAGCTACATTTGTTACAGTTATATATTATTTGTCTGCGTGAGAAGGAGTCGTCATCCAAACGTATTAGCGTCAGATCTGCTCAAGCCTTTACCACCAAAGCGTCTCAAAAAAAGAATCTGCAATGATTTACTACAGAATATAACATAACTTCTATGAAGGTGCTATCGCAGAAAAAGCTCTAACATTTGATGCACAAAAAAAATTTTTTTTGTAGGCCTGTGTAATATATTCAAGTTATAAGTGAAATTATTAAAGGATTTGCAAATATTTCATCACTAGTTTAAACTAGTGTATTTTATTTTACATATTTATAGTATTTTAGGTAACTTAGAAATATGGCCATAAATAAGATGATATGTGGCCAACTGCTTTTGCAAGAAACACTAGTAAACGTTTCAAGAGCTTTCGTGAAAACCTCCCCCGTCAGGAAGTGAGCTTTGAGCAAACTGTACGTCCGGCTCTCGTGCTACGGCAGTCGTAGCACGGCACAGAACGGAAAATGCTACGGCGTGTCGACCGCCGACTACGTAGTGCTAAGGGCGATATGAAAAGCGCATGGAAAGTAGGAAAATCGGCGCAAGCAGGCAACGTCAGAACGTCGTTCGTCGGTGCCGATCGAAGTCTGCGGTGCGACCGAGGAACAACGCTACGTTCGCGGGCACAAGCGCTCGGGCCCTGAACCGTGCGGAACGTCAAATTCTACAATGCTGCTTTTCAATCAATCGCCGTGAATGTTCGTTACATAATACCGCCCGATGGTTCGAAATTACCGCGTTTGTTGACAAAACTCGCTGATTTTTCCGCTAGCAGTAAGACCGTGATCGGATTGTTACCCTCAGGTGGTGGATTTTTTTTCTAGAACAAAAGAATAAGAACAGAAGTGTTTCGGAACCATATAAGATGGGGTCTTTGAAAACGTGTTTGAGTTCAGCGTTGACGATTGTTGTGTTATTTAGTTTACTCGATGCCGGTAAGTTTGAAATTACAATTAAAAAATTGTGAACTAGTCATAAAAATATATTTTAGGTAATTATTAGAAACTTATCTAATTCTCTATCTCTATGTCTTTATCGATTAATGCATAACCGCATCGTGGAAAATACAGTTTTAAATCAATCCAAGAGATATATTACATAATATAGCGCACATAAAGCATTAACACCAAAATAATAATGCAGTTTTGTCAATTATAGCAAAACTAATACTTATAGAATATACATGTAAAAATTCTGGAAAAAATCATATAATCTATTCTTCAAACAACCTTAAACCAATTACATAAGTTAAATAACATCATTTTATTCTACCTTTTTTATATTAATTAAGGTTTAAAATCATTTTAAACAATCATTTAAATCTTATTTACCTAATAATTAGTTTGTTATAAAAAAATTTCGACTTTTTATATAAAAATATTATAAATTAATCAATATTAAATAAATATTATTCACTGCTATATAAATGTTATTAATTGACCTAATTTTCTTAAAAACTGAACGTGCGTACCGTGATAATATTCAAAATTATTTTTCTTAAGTTCAAAAATATTCCTGAGAATAATCATCGCAATAAACTATAAAATTAAGAAAACATGAAAAACAAGATATTTTTAGAAATTAAAGAAACTGTGTGACGAGAAAATCGATTCACGTGTGTTTCAGAAATAAAGCAACGAAAATATTTTAATACTAAAAATAGAAATGTCCATAAAAATGGTAATTTTTGTAAAAGAATACGTGCTCTGTATTCTGTTGTATTCATTGTACTAACTATTACACTGCCCATCAATTATTTAAAAGAACAAACAATTCAAACCTCAACGTACATATTATTTGAAACGCTTAGCATTCTACGTCACTAAATCATGTAACTTTTGCACGGAAAAACACAAATACAACGTTTTAAAACGAAACGAACGGATAAAAAAAGACATCAATCATCAACAAAAAATGACTATAATATAGAGTCTATATTGTATAAATAAATATACAATATTTGGAATTTTTATTAAATTTAATTAACATGTAAAACGAATCAATGTCATACCGAACATGAGTGGAAACTAGTGTTGAATAGGTGTTATCTAATTTTGGTGGTGGTCCAGTAATTATTAATTACATTTGATTGAACTATATCGCCAACAACACATGTGACTAGATTTTAACGGGGATTAAATTAATGAAGTTATATATTATTGAATGTGTTTATAGGAAATATATAGTTATATTTTCGATGAACGAATTCAATATATTTCATTCTTATATTACGAAATTAGTTGCTGGGACAACTTGAATTATAATGAATTTAAAATGGATTTATCAACGCGAATAATAGTTTATCAACTCGATAGATGATTATTATGAACTGAAAATGGATTTATCAACTTATGGATAGATAACTGTTATCAACAATATTTTACCGTCACTTAAATTGATGTTTTACTAATTTAAAAATATTGAAAATTTTGTTAATGGTTTAAATAAATATTTTTGTACATGATTTGATTTGGAATTGTACATACGTTAGTGTTTTGTTAGATAATTAAATGTTTTTTGTACGATATATCAAACTATCTGAGATGAATTAGCACATGAATAATTACTGTATCTATTAGTAATTATATATACATATAATTAATACTAATAGTATAATAACAATACATATAAGTATTTATATATACATTTAAATTACATATTTAAATTTTGTTAGGAAAGTCTTTATTATTAATATTATTCGCAAATTCTAAATGGGAATAAAATAATAATGTTTAATATAGATATTATTAACATTTTTAATTGACAATTTTAGTTTGTATATTTATTATTATAAATGAACTGATATTAAAAATTGAATCAAAATATGATTTTGTACGTATTTACGTTTTCGATACTTCATAAAATTTGTATATTTATTTGTAGTACTTGGTAGTTACTTTTGTAACATACTTTTTTGATAAACTTTTGTTAAAAAATAAAAGTTTATAAATGACAATTTTTACTAGTTCAAATGTTCGTAAGATTCAATATGCGAGATCAAACCATTTGAGCTAAAAAATTTTTTACTCGAAATTTTTCAATAATAAAATTATCAAATATTTCACCTTTTTACAATCCTGAATAAATGCGCCAACTTTTGATAAAATTTGCCAACACACTTCAGTACACTTTTTTAAAGGAGGATCTCTCAAAGTCGACCGATTTTAAAACAATTAAATCCATAGTTCAACAAAAATTTTAATTTTTGGAAACTTGAGAAAATGGAGTTTCTATTGTTTACTGTGGTCTTAGAAATGTTATTCACAGTTCCAAAGTTAAAATGGGAAATATTTTTAGGCAAGACAGATATTATAGCTGTTCAAAGAATGAGATTATATCGCCAGCGAAAAAGTAAAAAAAAATACCAGCAGTCAATGAATGTATGTTAATTTTAATTACATGAAGTTTTTCAAACACAATTGCATGATGAGTAAAGTTGCGGTAACAATATTTGTTTAGGCGTTGTTTAACATAATCCACTGTGTGAACGAATATTATAGAATTTATTAATCAGCAATTACTTTATTTCTCTAATGAAGGTTCATTACTAGATGCTAATTACAATGACAAACCGATCATGTCATATTTGAAGTATGACTAATTACATTATTGTTTTTAAATATTATACATATTTTTAATGCTTTTTATAAATATATAATTTATAATTTATCATTATATAAATGAGTATTAGTTGACACTAATAAATGTGTGTATCACGAATGTTATCATATTACTAATACACATTATTCAAAATTGTTATATGAGGTATTTATTTTTACTTAAATGCCATCTTGTACAGTAGTAAGTAAGATTTACTTCAATCGTGTGTGAACCTTACGCGCACTCTTTTTTTCTAATTTTTCAGGGCAGATAAGGTCAATACTATCACCCTGTATAATGAATAATGGAAGTAATTATTACATATAAGTAGTAATTTTTTTTATAACAAATTTCATTTATACCATTTTCTTAAAAAATTACGTTGCCGTGTACGTTATAGATTTTTCTTTCGTTCTAAATGGTCTATTTGTTCCAAAGGGGTATTTAATGAATGATGTATGGTACACGGCGGTTCGGTCTGGTGTTGGTTATTGATGACATGCCAAATGTCACACGACATGCTGGAAATAGAAACGGTGTCTTGGTCACTAGCGTTCCACCTAGGACTAGGACGCATTGCACGCACTGTCGCCGTCAAATGGGTTTCATCATTCTGAAGGGCTCTGACGTAGATATCATAAAAATACCTACTTATAATAATACTGATACAGGAAAATATACGGATTTTTACTCGTAACTTTGCGATTAAAAATGTTCAGTTTAATTATTAACTTCCCGTAGGAAAATTTGTATATATCTTTACGTTTCAAAAGTTTCTGAACATTTTAGCATTCCTTAGAAAAAATGGATGTATGTGTGTGTGTGCGGATACAAATTTTCGTCGACGATTTCAGGAACACGCATCAACCGATTTGAATAATTCAAGATACATTCGATTTGTATTCATAAGGAGACGTGCTGATTAGTTTTTGGCGAAGGCAGGTCTAGCCGTTCCAAAGATACAGGGCAAAAAGTGCCAAAAACGGTAACTCAGTTTTTAAGAGAACGGTGCGTCTGATTTTAATAATTCAAAGAACATTTTACTTGTATTGACAAGATAAAAAACTGATTAAATTTTCGGGAAGGCAGGTCTAGCGGTTATGGACTCTCAATAAAAATAAGTTAAAAAAATGTCTTTTTTCAAACGGTCAAAAATGATTATCAGACTTATGCACATCAAATTATCAGATATTTTATAGAGATTTTCATAATGTGTACACATTTTGCGTAATTTTTTTTGGGTTCCGTACCAAAATTTTGAATTGTTCAAATTTTATTTTTAGTCTGATACAAATTTTATTTTGTAGTCTGATTTTCTCAACAAAATTTTGAAAAATCTGCATTTTGGATAAAGTAATTTTACACAAAAATCACTCGCATAAATTATCTCGTTTATATAAAATTTATATCTTACTTATTGGGTAAGGTTGCTCAAGTCGCACTTTGGTCAATGTACCAGATTGCAAAGTCAATAAAAAAAAACTAGTGATGCACGGCATCGTGCCTTAAGGCAAATCACTGGAAGTTCCCGTATCGAAAACTAAATTATTTGAAAAAACTTTGCAAAACTTTGAAAAAATTAGATTTCTCAGAAATTTTGAAATTTTTGGGACCTGCTTTCACAAAAGCAGTAATTATACCAGTTATTCATTTCGTCAATACAAGTAAAATGTTTTTTGATTTAAATCGGACGCTCCGTTATGTCAAATACTGAAAAATACCATTTTTGGCACTTTTTGCCCCAAAAACTAATCAGTATGTCTCCTTATCAGTAGGACTCGAATGTTTTTTGAATTATTCATATCGGTTGATTCGTGTTCCGAAAATCGTCGACGAAATCAATTTGTATCCGCACACACATATACATGCACGCACACACAAACATCTATTTTTTCTAAAGTATGTCAAAATTCAGAAGCCTCTGAAACGTAAAGATATATAGAAATTTTCATTTTCGATTTTTTTGCGATTTCTATAACATACTCTACGGGAAGTTAAAGAAGTCGTACCCCCTAAAAAAATAGTATGATTACCTACTTTGTGATTACCAATTACTAAAAAATGAAATAGATATTGGTATGTTTTTCAGCACTAAGTCGCCTTAATCGTGTTTATTTGATTACTTTAAACCCAAAATTAATATTTAAATTATAAAAGTTTAATAAAATTAATAAAACGGTATACGATAGTAGTTTTCAAATTAAAATGCTGCAGAATTCTTTGCTATAAATTACAATTTCAGAATTTAGTTGCCAACAAAATGACAATCATTAAATATTATACTGATATAACAAAAAATAAAAAAAAATGTCGAAACAACATTAAATTCAATATT